TCCTACATTGTGCATGTATCTTTTTTCTTATGGGACTTGAAAAGTGAACTAATTTTTAGCTGTGGCTTATTCACAACCTAGGATGATGCACTGAAAACCTAAGGCAAAACGAAACCGCTTGAAACCATTCACAACCTCTCTATACGACTAGCCTTTGTTGTGCGTTAGCTGTAGGCTTTTCAAACCTTACCTTAATAGCGATAAGAACTAGGGTATGCTGTGTTGAGAGTCGACCGATGGTAACTCTAGTTATGTGACACAAACATGTTACTGCTATCGCAACTCCACCATATAGTTGTAAAGCTTCGCTGTTGGACCTTAAGTTTACTGCTTTCGGTTTTACCACTATCTAGTTTGTTTATCTACCGTGATAAGATCTGACTATCATCGGGTGTTTATCGATCGAACGGAGGGAATTTCATTTACATCGTAGATTATCAGCATTAAAATGTTATAATCTTATATCATTTCCCCCCTCCCTGTCTGTCTGTTTTTTTTCTTCATTCAAAATAATAGATTTTGTTTACGACAAGCGACACCAGCTACACCTGTGGTTAGTTTCAATTTTCTTGAACCATCGGATGATCCACGTTTTTGTTGTTTTATTTGGGTTGGTTGGCAATCGAAACAACCGACTCAAAATGTTGATGGTGGTGTGTTTAAATTTACTGGAAAACAGAATACCGCAGCGAATTTTCAATGGTAAGTTTGTGTGTCTCTCTGTGTGTGTCTTTCTTATTAAATCTAATGTGATTAGGGTGTATATATAGACAGACAGACAAACAGATTGTTTCTTGAGGAACCTGAAAAAGGAAGGTAGATTAGTGTTGGTCTTAGAGACCTGGGTGCGTGACCGCAGAGCCTAACGGCCGGCCACGTACGGCCTTTTTATGAAAGGTTTTTGAGTATTAGCTCCGCTCTTGAAAGCCCTTAGTGGGCACCCTTACCGCCGGAGACGGAAATCTGTGAGGTAGGGTGAGGTGTGACATTTTTAGGGTCGACCTTTTCTAACCCTTCCTTCCTTGTGAGAAGGCAGCATCGCTGCAGATGCTGGTTGTCCGAGGGAAACACCTTACTGCTGTCACACCTCTCTGCAGTCAGCAGTACGACTTCGCCCTCAGACCTTGAGTAGCTGCTTTTAGTCTCATCGTTCTCCAATCGACCTGCCTGGCATGGTAGAACCTTCAGGAACATATGTTCCAGCCAATATAGCTCGGTTGGGTCATCACGATAGGCAAGCCTGACCACCACGTCAAGGTAGCAGCTACGGTCGGGAGCAAGTTCGTATATAAAATTATATATGTATATGCAGAGCTACTAAGTGTGTTTCTGCAATCTGGTATGTTGCTTTTCATTGCTTATGTGAACAACATTGCTTCAGTGCGCGACGGGCCTGTGTTGTATGTGTCATCATTTGTTCATAACACCCCGGGATTCGATACAAAAACCATCTCTGTTCAAAGTTAATTCCTAAAATTGGTTCCAAATATTGTCCAAGCAATAGCTAGGTTGTCAATACTTTCCTCAGTCCTGTGAAATATTTGTATGATTTTCCAAGTTAGGTATTTTCATCTTCTCCACATATTTGTTGTTCTGTCCTAGTTTTCGAGACAAGGGATATACGGCATAGTGGCCTGTACTGTAGTACCCTCACACATACATTTGAGGTTTTGTTCATGATGTTAAATATGGTTAAGCCATTTTTTAAAGTAACTTATTTCACAAGACTGTTCGTTCGTATTGCAGTAAAACGCGCCTGTGACATTGTGTGATCTTATGATTTTCGCGTTTGTTGATAATCAGGGCTATGATTTGAGGCATATAGGCTTACCGCCGACGTTTCCTATTCATTCTCTACTCGCCTAAATAAATCATCCGATTACTGATTGGATTTTCCCTATGTATATAGTATATATATATATAAATATACTATATATAGTATATATATATATATAATTATATGTAAACATCGTGGATCCTTTCATCTGACCTCGTTCGCGTTTTTCTTCGAGAGGGGCACTTGGCATATCATTTTCAGTTCGTCTGTGCCCTGATTGTTTTTTGGTCAAGATCTGTATTGTGGCATGTGATAGTTGCCTTGTAATCAACGCTGTCGGAGTCATCTTCAAATTGAATACAACATTTGGCCAGTCTGTTAACTAGACAACGCCTATCATAGAACGAGCAGGATTACGAATTCTAAGGGGATACTATCTTGGATACCGGCCGCTACAAATAATTGGTGAGACCCAAATCCATCACGCAGGCTTCGAATTCTCGACCGTCACCTTTAAAGATCTAAAACTCTTCCATATTAAATATCCTTCGACTTACAGGCTAGATATTAACTGATTTTCTCTGGTTAACGAATTTTCAGGGAGGTTCTTTTTACGTGATGTGATTGTTGACCGCACATTCAAGTTCTCTGTTTCATATGAAGTTTGGGCCCCGTTAGTAATTAGGCCCAAAACGGGATTCGAACTTATAAACTAAGTTTCGGTTTTTTTCTTTTCACGGTAAAATCACATCATAACATAATGGGTCAGTTGACGATAGATTATTAAATAAAAATGTTTGTAACGTCAGTATGAATCACAGTGGGTGTTACACGATGTCCATGATCTAAATGTGACACGCACTAACTCGGCCTCCCCCACAAAAACTGCAATTACTTTGATCGAGAAGACAGGACTGGAAATTAGCACAGTGAGCACGGTGGAATCTCGTTACTACCTTTTCATCCCCCTCCACTCCTATCACCTTTTCACGGATTGTATCGTTATGCGTATATCGCCAGAGCACCTGTGAAGAGAACTAGTATTCTCACGGGTCCAAGCACACAACACTACCCTAGCGGTCACTAACTGTACATAGCACGAGTACTTCAGTATATTTAATGACACACAGATTCACAAGTATCAAGTATTCAGTTTGGGGGGAGGCCAGTTAGTGCGTGTCACGTTTAGATCATGGACATCGTACACCACTGAGTCATACTGACGTGACAAACATTTTTATTTAATAATCTATCGTAAAACTGACCATTTATGTTATGAATGTGATTTTACAGTGAAAAGAAAAAACCGAACATTAGTTTATAAGTTCGAATCCCGTTTTGCCTATTACTAACGGTCCCAAACCTGCATAATGAAAGAAACTTGAATGTGCGGTCAACAATCACATCACGTAAAAAGAACCTCCCTAAAAATTCGTTAACCAGAGAAAATCAGTTAATATCTAGCCTGTAAGTCGAAGGATATTTATATGGAAGAGTTTAGATCTTTAAAGGTGAAGGTCGAGAATTTTCGGAAGCCTGCGATGGATGTGGGTCTCACCAATTATTTTGTAGCGGCCGGTATCCAATATAGTACCTTAGAATTCGTATACTGCTCGTCTTGATAAGCGTTGCTAGTTAACGACGCCAAATGTTGTATAAATTTGAAGATGAATACGAAGCGTTGATTACAACAACTATCACACCACATACAGATCACCAAAAACAAAGGCACACGAAGTGAAAATGATATGCAAGTGCCGAAGAAAAAGCGAACGAGTCAGTGAAAAGGATCCACATGTACATATATATATATATATATATATATATATATATATATATATATATATATATATACATAGGAAAATCAATCAGTAATCGGATGATTTAAGCGAGTAGAGAATGAATATGAACGTAGGCGGTAAGCCTATGCTCAATCATACCTGATTATACAAACGCGAAAATCATAAGATCACAATGTTACAGGCGCGTTACTGCAATACGAACGACAGTCTGTGAAATAAGTTACTAAAAAAGGCTTAACCATATTAAACATGAACAAACTCAAATGTATGTGAGGTACTACAGTACAGGCCACTATGCCGATATCCCTTTTCGAAAACTAGGACAAACAATAAATATGTGAGAGATGAAATACCTAAACTGGAAAATCATACAAATATTTACAGGAATGAGGAAGTATACAACCTAACTATGCTTGGAATATTTGGAACCAATTGGATTAACTTGAACAGAGATGTTATTGTATCCGGGTTATGAACAATGATGACCTACAACACAGGCCGTCGCGCACTGATGTTGTTCACATAAGCATGAAAAGCACATACAGAATGAGAAACACACTAGTATATGAATATACATATATATTTATATAAACAATATCCCGACCGTAGCTGCTACCTTGACGTGGTGGTCAGGCTTGCCTATCGTGATGACCCAACCGAGCTATATTGGCTGGAACATATGTTCCTGAAGGTTCTACCATGCCACGCAGGTCGACTGAAGAACAATGAGACTAAAAGCAGTTAAACAAGATCTGAGGGCGAAGTCGTACTTCTGACTGTGATGGAGGGGTGTGACAACAGTAAGGTGTTTCCCACGGACAACCAGCATCTGCAGAGATGCTGCCTTCTCACAAAGAATGAAGGGTTAGAAAAGGTCGACCCTAAAAATGTCACACCTCACCTTACCTCACGGATTTCGGTCTCCGGCGGTAAGGGTGTCTGCCCACTAAGGGCTCTTAAGAGCGGAGCTAATACTAAAAAAACCTTTCATCAAAAGGCCGTGCGTGACCGGCCTCAAGCAGTTGTCCCTTGGGCTCTGCGGTCACGCATCCAGGTCTCTAAGACCAACACTAATCTACCTTCCTTTTTCAGGTCCCTCAAGAAACAACCTGTCTGTCTGTTTGTCTATATATACACCCTAATCATATTAGTTTTAATTAGAAAAACACAAACACACAAAGTTACCATTGAAAATTCCCGGTGGAATTCTGTTTTCCAGTAAATTTAAACACACCACCACCACCACCATCAACATTTTGAGTCGGTTGTTTCGATTGCCAACCAACCCAAATGAAACAACAAAAACGTGGATCATCCGATGGTTCAAGAAAATTGAAACTAACCACAGGTGTAGCTGGTGTCGCTTGTCGTAAACAAAATCTATTATTTTGAATGAAGAAAAAAAACAGACAGAGAGGGAGGGAAATGGTATAAGATTATGACATTTTAATGCTGATAATCTATAATGTGAATGACATTACCCCCGCTGGGTTGTTGAACACCTGATGATTGTCAGGTCTTATCATGGTAGATAAACGAACTACAGAATGGCAAAACTGAAGGCAGTAGACTTAGGATCCAACAGCGAGTTGCGATAGCAGTAACATGTTTGTGTCACATAACTAGAGTTGCCATCGGTCGACTCTCAACGCAGCATTCCCTATCATTGCTCAACGGATTTTTATCGTCATTAGGGTAAGGTTTGGAAAGCCCACAGCTAACGTACAACGAAAATTAGTCGTACAGTGGTTGTTAATGATTTCAAGCGGTTTCGCCTTAGACTCTCAGTTCATCATCCTAGGTTGTGAATAAGCCACACATAAAACATAGTTCACTTTTCAAGTCCCATAGGAAAAAAGATACTTGCACAATGTAGGAGGAGAACCTAGAATTGACAATTCACTTATACATTTTTGAAACCATGAATCGATCAATGTTAGACCATCATTAGAAACCTGGAAGCACTGAAAGACGGCCGTTTTGTCCTAGCATGGGACTCCTCAGCAGTGCGAATCCACGACTCCTGCACCCCACAGGATTCGAACCCAGGACCTTTGGTATTGTGCGCGAACGTCTTCCTTTCTTTGTCCTTCTAAACAACAACATCATCAGCAGCAGCATAAACTTCAGGTACAGAGAGAAGTGAAGTGTTCTAATTTCTCAACATATGACTCGTCGCTTGTCTTGTTGACCTCGATGTTGATTGGTTGGTTACTGATTTTTAATCTGTCGTCATCTGTCGCCTTAAGTTTGATTGTATAATATGTGTAGAAATTCAAACACTTCATTTCTCTCTACCTGAAGTTTGTGTTGTCTTCAGAAGAAGACCAATGAAAGCTCCACAATTAAACTATCCGACTAAAAGAACGAAACTCTACCACAATCACTCATCAGTGCTGCAAATTTTTTACACCACAGAAATCATTCTCTATGAAGAGAAAGATATATTTAACGAACCCATTATAAAACAATTTATAATCATTGGTTATTCATACAATACAAGCTGTACTTAAGAAAAAAAAAGTTCCACACAACAATACTTACTCCATATTTAATCGATCTAATGACCATAATTGCCAACCACCAAAACTGAAACCAACAGCAAGACCTTGTAGCTGTGGAATATAACTTAAAGCTGACACATGAACACTAGCTATAAGAATATTAATAACAAAAAACAGTGAAAAAAGATTATAACTTAGATTGTTTGCCTAAGTAAAAAATTCGCAAACTAATATAAATGTGAAAAGATGAAACTTATTATCTGATTACAGACGTTTGGATACGCAGTACATTTAAGTTATATACATTACTTTTTTAAAACGACCGATACTAACAACATTGACTAGACTGAAATGAGCAGTGCCTCTACTAAATACAAATTTACATATTTATTTTCTTTAAGATGTTTTCTGTAAGATGGTTGTCTATTCCACTCGACCGTAGCTGCTACGTTGATGTGGTGGTCGGCTTGGCCAGATCGAATTATATTGGCTGGAACATATATTCCTGTAGGTCCTACCATGTCATGAGACTAAAAACAGCTACTCAAGGTCTGAGAACGAAGCCGTACAACTGACTGTAGAGAGGTGTGACAGCAGTAAGCTATTTCCCTCAGACAACAAGCATCTGTAGCGATGCTGCCTTCTTACAAGGAATGAAGAGGTTGTAAAAGGTTGACCCTAATATTTTCACACCTCATCTTTCCTTACGGATTTCCGTCTCCATTGAGGAGCGGAGCTAACACTTTAAAAACTTCTCATAAGGTCGTGCGGGACCGGCATCAATCTGTTGTCCCTTGGGTTCAGTGGTCACGCTCTCAGATCGTTCAGATCAACACCAATCCGATTTTCTTTTCAGGTTCCTCAAGAAACACCCTTCCACGGTGTGGACAACCGGGAAGTAGCATCCGCCTTCATACCCGTAAAAGCATACAAGACCGGATCGGTCACAATCAAATCCTTTTTATACCTCTTAATAACTCTCTTATCTCCACAGCTGCTGGTCAAGTTGAAGTAAGTAGAAGAGAATTCGAATATCTGCAACTGTATGTTTAAAAACTAAGTGTTAAAATCATTTAATTTACAGCGTCACTTTTGTGTAAACCTAATAAACTGAAGAGTTCATCATGAGAGACCCCACCTGGAGCCCTTCTAGGATTACTGCCGGTCCTAAGTCCGAATAAAGGAGGAGGTTTGGGCATGATGAAGTTAGCGACCTCATCCGGTAGAAATCCAGCTCGCCGAATAAAAAACGCTAACCATAAAAAATTAATTCGCTGGTCAGCGGCCCACCTATGCTCCATTATAGGTAATGGGCCTAAGTAAAATTAAGCAAGTAAAGTATGTCATAAGAAACGCACATATACACAGACACACATACAAATAAATAAACGTACCCGATGGAATTGAACATAATGTTTTACCACTGACAGATTTATACGTGAAATCATTCCATCGTATAACGGATTCTAAGTAAAATATTACACAAAAAAAGGGAAATTGAACAGATTACTGAATATCCATTTAAACAGTCACGTGATTAATGCTATGCTAAAAGACAATGCGTAAACAAACAAGGTCATCATCATGATCATCATCAACTAGGTAGCTTAAGCGACCACCTTACGTTTAAAAAAGCCAGAAAACAATTTCGAGGAAATGTTAGTTTTCATTAAAATAAATGTAATTGGAATAGAATAGACATTAACACCGTTGGATGCCAGCTCAGTGGTCTGATGGTAAGGCGTTCGCGCACAATACCGAAAGTCCTGGGTTCGAATCTTGCGAGGTGCAGGAGTCGTCGATGCGCACTGCTGATGAGCAGTCCCATACCGGGACGAAACGGCCGTGTTTCAGTGTTTCCAGGTTTCTAATGGTGGTCTAACAATGATTGATTGATGATTTACAATGTGGAATAGAAATTGTCAACAAGAAAGGTTACATTACACATTAATATAAGCCCGCCTGAAGCGCACACTGGGGTTAGTGCTAGTCCGAAGTCCGGACAAAAAAACGAGAGTTGGGTATGAGGGTTAGTGACCACATCCCGTAGAAACCCAACCCAGTAAAAAAAACACTGACCAGAAAAAATAACTAGCTAATCGGCAGCCTACACCTCTCATTACGGGTAATAAGTAAGTAAGTAAGTAAGTAATATATTCACATAATCGCAAAGGATATTCATAAAATGAAGACCAAAGTAAACTTAATGTGTTAATTATGAATGAATATTGAGATAATAATACTTAAAAATAGAAATAAGTTTTAGGAATAGATTGTTTACAACAAAAAAACGATATCTAAATCAAGTTTTGAAACGAGATTCATTTTTGCTATAAAAAAAATTTGAGTGCAACTAAGCTACGACATTTGAATTTACTCCGAAGTTATCCAACAAATATTACACAAGAGAAAATGCGGAAACTTGGAGAACCACGAAATCTATCTACCCGTAAGATAAAGGTGTTTATTTACAGTTGCCTGCGCAAGATACTCCAAATAGACTGGCCAGACATAATCAATAACAACCTACTGTGTGGGAGAGAACAAACCAGATTCCGATGGAGGAAGAAATCAATAAGAACCGCTGGAAGTGGATAGGACACACACACACCACGAAAAGCACCCAACTGCATCATAAGATAAGCACTCACTTGGAAATCTTTAATGACAAAGGAAAAGAGGAAGACCAAAGAACACATTACTCTGAAAAATGGCGATAGACATGAGGAGAATGAAAAGCAATTTGGAATAAACTAGAAAGGAAGGACCAAGACAGAGTTGGTTGGGGAATTCTGGTCGTAGGCCTAAGCTACACTTGGAGTGACAGGCGTACGTACAAAGTTCTACATTTTAACTAACTGACTGACAAGTGTAAGTAGATAAGTACCCAAAGTAGTAACACACAAATGAATTGAGGTTCTCACACTTATGAACAATCATAAGAGTGCGGAACCCAGTCTCCTTCTTCAAAATCTTTCATATGACCAACTATGTGTATATCCTCTACCAGAGAAGTCCTACTCACTGACTTCTGATGACAGTATGTATGTTGTTTACAAAATCGAGAGAACCGAAAGCGAAGATTCAGTGCATTGACCGGATTAGTGGGTACGGAGGATCAAACTTGGGGAGTTGGAAAAACTTTCAATTCAAACCAATGCTGAACATAGGCTCTATGATCTCTTGAGAACAAATAGTGTATGAACCAATTATTGGTCACTAGCTACCATGGGACTTTATTTCCTAACGTTATTCTAATGCCTTGTGAATTAAACCTGTAGTTGAAACATTCGAGGAGCAGCTTCCTAAGAAAACTAACTGCTTCGATTTTGGCAGCCAGCTAGTAGACAAGCCCAGTGACAAATTTAATAATTTGTATGGCGCGAAAATATTTAGGCACCCATTTGTACTAATCAGTCAGTCAGCTACAGCGTAAAACTTCGTACGTACGTACATCAGTTCAATTTACCATACCACATCAGCACAGAGACGTAAACGTTAATTCAAATCCTATAGTGGTAAATGTAGCAGAAGTATTAGCGGTAATCAAAAAAGATTAGGAATCGAAGATATCATTCGAGAAATATGTCGCAATAAAACAATCTTAAACAGAGAAAAAACAGCCGTGAGTAACTAAGAAGATTATAATTTTAGAGAACAATTTTGAGCCATGTCTTTCAAGGCCTCTAACCATCGGTAGCTATCGTCTTTCAAACCCCATCCCGATAGTCTACACCTACCAATATGACTCAGTCCACTTGTCAGTGACTTCATAGATTTGTACCATGTTTTCGTTTGGCCGCCCCCAGCTTTCTTCCAATCTACTCCTACACTACAAAACAGCTCGACGAGACAATCGGTGGTCGGGCATTCGTAATACATGTCCCATCCACCTCAACTGATGAAGTTTCAATACTTCATCTATTGACCTGCCATTCTTACCATCCTTGTCAGTGACTTCATGGATTTATGCCATCCACAATTGGACTGAGACATGTTTGTATGTGTATACACTACTTGAGGTTGTGGTCCGTGAGACGATAGGAGCCGATGGTTAAAGACTTTGAATGATATGGCTTAAAATCGTTTTGCATTGGCGCAGGTACTAGTGAACTAACGTCTATGTACTTCAGTCAGTCAGTCAGCTGCAACGTGGAACTTCGTATGTTTGTACATAAATTCATGTTGCCATACCACATTAACACAGAGACGCAAATGTCAAATCAAATCCCATAGTGATAGAGATAGGAGAGGTATTAATGGTAATGAAGAAGACTAGGGTTCGAAGATATTATTATTCAAGAAGTATAATTCAGTGAGGTTAGAAAGACAAAGGTAGAGGTGCTGACGATTCCATAATATTAGGATTTGAGAGAGCTCAAAGAATGGATGCACCTGCGCCATTCCAAACGATTTTGAGCCATGTCTTTCAAAGTCTCTAACCATTGGTGACTTTCGTCTCGCGGACCCCAACCACGTAGCCTACATCTACCAACATGACTCAGTCCACTTGTCAGTGACTTCATGGATTTGTACCATGTTTTGGTTTGGCCACCCCTAGCTTTCTTCCAACCTACTCCTACACCACGAAACATAGCTCGCCGCGAGAGTTGGTGGTTAGCCATACGTAACACATGTCCCAACCACCTCAACTGATGAAGTTTCATTACTACATCTATTGATCTGACATCCTCACCTAGTACTCGTTTGCTAACGACAGCATTGCTTACTCGATTGTCCCACGATATACAATGAATGCTTCTTAAACATCTATGATCGAATACTAGTAACCTACGAACATCTTCTACTCTTAACGGCCATGTTTCACAGCCATATAGGAGAACGGAGCGAACTTCTGCGCAGTACACTCGTCGTTTGGTTAACGAACGGATATCACGCCTACGCCATAAGTGACACAGGTTGGCAAAAGCCAATCGAGCCTTCTGTATCCACGCCGAGATTTCGTCAGTCACCAGGCTATCAGCGCTGATGAGACTCCCCAGATAAGTGAAGCGGTCTACATGCTCGATGTACTTAATATGAATAAGCAAAAACAGCTATCTACAAGTAACTGATTAGTAAAATGGATATATATGCATGTATAATTAACATGAAACATTGTTTTAAAAACAAACAGGATTATTTCAATTTACCATCAAGATAGACTAGAGAATGTTTTAGATTATTATTATTATTATTATTATTATTATTGTTAGATAGTTGAGATATTGGTTGATGACGTGAATAACAAGTTAAACAATAAGATCTTTCCACTGCAATTGATGTTTCAAGTTGACAATTTAATAAATCATTACGAGTATGTGTTAGACACATATCTGTAAGGAAAAAAAAACAAGAGAGAGAAAAATTTAAAAGAGAAAAAAAACGATGAATCAATTATAAATATTGGACAGATAATGATCACAAATTAATTGATGAAGTATTGAAACTTCATCAGTTGAGGTGGTTATGACATACGTTACGTATGCCCAACCATCGACTCCCTCATCGAGCTATGTTTTGAGATGTAGGTATAGGTTGGAAGAAAGCTAGGAGTGGCCAAACCAAAACATGGCACAAATCCATGAAATCGCTAACAAGTAAACTGAGATATGTTGACAGATATACACTACCTGGTTGGGGTCCGCGAGACAATAGTAACCGATGGTTAGAGACTTTGATAGACATGACTCAAAACCGTTTGCAATGGCGCAGATGTATCCATTTTTTGTGTTCTCACAAATTCTAATCTTCTGAATTCCTCATCGCGTTTATTTTCGGTTTTTGCATTTATTTCGCTGGCTTATACCTCTTGAATGATTTATTCGAATCCTAATCTCTTCCATTACCGTTAATACTCCTAATATCTCTATTACAATGGGATTGGAATTGACAATTCTATCTCTGTATGCTAATATGGCATGGTAACTTGAACTGATGTACGTACGTACAAAGTTCTGTGTTGTATTTGACTGACAGACTGACTGACTGTCATACTTTATCGGTACAGAGAAATGAAATCGTCAGACCAAATCATAAAGTAGTAGGATTAGTAATCGTATCAATGGCAATAGACAATCTTACGAATCAAAAATAAGATTAAAGAAACTAGATATAGTTAAAAGTCCATGAAGTCATTAACTTTGGGTTTGGACGTATTGAGTTAAAGTACATTTTTGTTAATCACAATGAGTCATACATGACGTACAACCTAGGAGGAATGACTTGGAAGCTTTAGAAGGTCATCCCGTCCTAGTATGGAACCACTCAGCAATGCAAATTAGTAACGCCGCAGCCAGGAATCAAAACGAAGACCTACGGTCGCGCACGCGAACGCTTGATCTGTAAGCCACTGAGTCAGAGTCCCATGATGTACAAGTCTACCATCAATCAGTCTGCCACACTATGCGACTATCTTCCATTGTCTTCGGTGGGTAACTGTCTCACACCCGACATAGTTTAAGTGGTAGCAAAACAAGTTACTGGTAAGCACACCACATCTGTAAGTGCATGGTTTGGAAGGAAATTTCTGGAGCTCAAGTGGGAAGCTTTGACAAGAATTTGCACTGCTGAAGAATCTCATACTAAACGGAACGACTACCCAGTGATTCCAGATTTTTAATAGTTGTCTTTGTTAGTTTCGTTAGTTTCAATGAATTTCAACAAACTCTACAACCAGATAACTATAAAAAAGAATCGATTCGCAAAAGTAAAAATATAAAATAATTTTAAAACTTGTTTAATGTAAGATAAAGGGATGATGAATGCACCTGCAACAAGTTGATGGATTCTAATCTATATCACTCAATCTATCCAATTGTTGGTTACAATAATCAAGTAAAACCCAACCAGATAGCCCGTATCTATAAACAAAGCTCAAACCAATAATGGACGTTTTCATAGTCTAAGGCCACAACTTGATTAGGCCGCTCCCGGCCTTCTTTTATCTTAATACTTTGGGATTCGTTTTGACAATACCATCTACCTGCACTGGTAAGGTATGACAATTCAAAACCAGTATACACGTATGCCAGATTTTACATTCAAAATAACAGATATATCTAAATCAACGATAAATATATACTTACCTAATAAACCTACAGGTCCTTGTTGAAAGCCCAAAGCAAAACAACCATCAAAAATTGATAAAACAGAACTTAAAGTTTTGTTATTTATAACTTTAGAAATATCCTGTTCCATCATATCCATAGTACATTCAACTGAATATGATTCCATTGGTTTACAACCTATATCAATAACAGGTAACCATTCCAGTGATGTGATTATTCCATGTACTAAAATAATTATATTACATTTTGCTGTAGTTAATGAACGAAAAAAACAAACAAGTGAACGATTCTGGCTGATATTTACAAGAATTGCTATTAAAGATTGTCTTGCTGTAGTTGAAGTATTTACAAATAGAACTTTCTGTATATGCCAATTATATAAATCATTTGTAGTGTCTATTAAAGTATCCAATATATATTTTAAATCTAAAATCGGTGTCCATGTAAATTGATGTGACCAATTGGGACTTTCACGAAAACATTCAAGTTTATGTATATCATATAAGCATACAGTTGCAGAAGATGAACTAAAGACAATTTGTGTTGTATTCTTTGTTGTTGTTGTAGATGATAATGTATCGATTTTGAATTTTGAAAAATTAATCGAACCCAAAGGTTCTAAATATGCTGGTTGCATGATAATATATGTAAATTGATTAGCTGTAAAGGAAATAGTAAAAAATGTACAATTAATTGACTTGATAAAAATTAAAAATATTTTTAAAGAGAAAATATATTAATAAACTAATTAAGAGAATATTGATAATGAATGTATGGTATTGATAACAAATATGAGCAAATATTAGCAACATTAAGTTTTAATAGAGGTAACATTTAAATATAGACAAACCTGCTATATGAATATATGTGATTTTTAGGATTATGTCAAATTAGTTTGAACTCCTGCCTGAATATAAAGTATGATTTTTACATGAATATCACTCTTGAATCTGTAGCGTAGTAATTATAACAAAATACAGTTAAAACTGTTGAGAAAAGTTTATCAATGTTCCATATTTAGTGAACGGTACTAAGAAATAAACGTCTTTAGAATAAAATAACTACTCGCTCTCAAATGAAGATGGATAAATGGCTTTCAACTACTCGGGAATTTACGGAAGTGTTATTTAATAATGGGTTGATAAAAACCAAACGCACAAACCTTTGAAGAGGAAGAATATTTATTAAATAAACAGGTAGAAATTTTATTTAGGGTCTAACAATCATATGTAATACCATAATGACCGGGAGCAATCTTTAGTGATTCTATCCAAAAAACCAAGAAATAAAAATCATCAGCACCATATAGATCGGAACCTGAACGACTGATAACCTCAAGACAGCCCAGTTTGCTTACTACAAATGCAATGTGACAGATATGATTATAAACCATTTCGTAGTACAAATTATTACGTGATAAACATTAAAGAAAAGATAGACAAAATAATCTAGTCAGTTGTACGTTTTGACTTGATAGAAATTTTCAGACTCCTTAGGTAGGAATACAATATTTAACATGCAATTCTGAATGGAAAATGATTGACAAATCGTCCCCTCTCGGAACTGATTTTTACGTTAGAAAGCAAATCCGCTATTCAGTGGAGTTTTGGATGTGATTAAAAAAACTATAGATATATAATGTTCAAAACCGGTTAGGAATGTAGTGTATCACATATTTATTCAGGTTGAAACGATATTACTCCAATGCCAATCAATGTACTACGCTAATTAATGATTATAAACCCCGGGTAGTTAACAAGCAATTAGCCAAGAGCATTTTAAAACATCGAATTCGTGTTACCGCACCAAAAATGAATAGACAGGTAGGTCTGGTATTTTGAAAGCTATTTATATCGGAAATCGCATAAATTTATGGAGGTACTGATACCCTAATCGAACCCAACATAAGGTGGAGGAAAGCACGCTTCATTGGTCTGTTTATTTTGACAGCTATAAACAGATTTTATGTAGTAAACTTGATAGTCTGCACTAAAGATGAGTGATATGAATAAAGGAGAGATGGATAAGATTACCTTGAACCGACTGATGTTTATGAGTAATCAACACTCAATGAGCATATCAGACCGAATTTTGAAACTCGGCGAAGGTCAGACCATCCAATATCCAATATTTTTTTCACGAGCCAGTGTAAACCAATTTGATTGCTTCGCGCTCGATTCTTGTTCTTTATTCCAGAAGTTCGGTAATGTTCAATGGATGGAGGTCTATCCATCTAACTGTCTGATTCTAGTCAGTTGGCAGTTGGCTGTGAGTTTGTATGTCTCGGGATTTGAATGAAAACCTTTGTTTCAAGGCAGTAGGGTTTCTGGATACCAGCAGTTATCACATTAGCAGACCGGAGATCAGTTAGTTCAAATGTGGGGAGTAATAATGATAATAAGGATAAAATTATAATGCTAATATGAATAAAGTTTTAGAACTGAGTAAAATATAGATGAATTTAGTTTGTTAATTGGTAGTGAAGATTGTGAGAGAAGACCGTAGTGTAAGCAAGGAGGAGGGAACAGAGATAATAGGCGAGATATGTTAAGTAAGTGATCTGAAGAGATGGCAATGATAACAACAAGCAGGTCTCAAGATATGCATCATGAACAGCTTGTCCAAGAGGGAGATGATAGTCCGTGTGTGAGTACGTGATTATCAAGTCTCTTCTTAAAGCAGTCCACTGAGGGGGCTGTGGTCACCTCGGCTGAGAGAGCATTCCAAGTTGCGAAGACTCGCAATGAGAAAAAGTGCGCACGAATCTGAGTATTCGCTCTTTGATATGCAATCTTTCGAGGATGCAATATTCAATATCTTTTCACGATGTGGTATCAATCAGTTGGCTTTTTGAGGTCGATTCTTGTACTTTCGGAATGGTTCCAGGTATTTGGTAAAGTTCAGTTGATGGTAGTATAGCCACTCGATTTCACTAACACTAGTCGGTTTGCAGCTGTTTGCAAGTCTACATGTCACGTGGTTTCATGAAAGTAGGATTTATGAATACTAGCATCTATCACATTGCCACGCCAAAGATCAGTTAGTCACAATATGAGTGATGACAAGGATAAAATTTCAACGCAAGTAATAAGAGAAAAATTCTGGAAGCTGTACTAAAAAAAAGAATCGAACGCAAAGAAACCAGCTGGTAATACTTGATCATGAAAAAGATATTGGATTAGATATTAGACATATTGAAGTATTTAAACAGATAAATAAAGCTAACTAATCAGGACCCAAACTTAAGCAAAAGAAACGAAACAGAGAAGATAAGCGAGATAAAACAGGTTCATAACCTGAAGAAATTACAGTGATCACCACCAGTGAGTTTTGAGGTTTGAAAGTGAGAGTATCATCCGCATGGGGGTACGCGTTCGTCAAATCTCCTCTTGAATCTATCCACTGAGGGGACTGCGGTCACCCTGGCTTGGAGAGAATTACAAGTTGCGACAACTCTTGGTGATGAGTGATCGCTCTTTGATGCGCTCTTTTTAAGGATTTCCTCGAGGGGCGTAATGGGGAAGCTTCAGCGAAACGTTCATGCTTGGATGATTTGACTTACTTTACATGTTGCCCTCCATTACCGGATCACCTCAGATCCTCCTGTAACTCAGGAGGAATAATCCTAGGTGCTGGAGTCTATCTTGGTGAGGTTAGTTCTTTTACACTATCGCCCGTTTAGAAGCTCATATCTGCACTCGGTTCAGGTGATTTATGTCTCTTTCAAAGAAAATTGGTGAGACGACATTGTGAACCTCAAGGTGCGGGTGTAGAATCTTTTTTGAATGTTTTGTTTTTTGGAAAATCCCTCCATGTTTATATATTTGTGTTATGACATGACGGACTTTTTCTGTTGGCATTTTGGTAATTTATTTGATTCCAATTTGAGATTTTATCATTGTATATTGTTATTATTTCTATATTTTGTACTTATATTGAAGTTTTTGTGTTTGCTTCTGAACTGTATATATGTTGTTTAAATTTGATATATAATATGGCTACAACCATATTTGGATTGATACTGTGGCGGTTGGATTTAACACCACTTAGTCCCTTTAAACTCGGATACTTCTCGGAGTAATTGTGACTTGGAAAGTGCATCAAAATTCAGGTATTGATTTGTATTTCCATTTTTAATATAATATAGACCGCTTTCTCCTAGAATTATTGTGTTTTTGACATTGGGTTGGGAGATAGCGCGTTCGATTTGCACTTACTGGAAACGATTTGAACTGCTACGGTAGAAAATCCATTTACAGTGGGAGCGTGTACGTTTTGAAGAGAGTTAAGAACAATTTCGGAATGACTGCGCCAAGCTGTCTCCGCATAAAATGAATAGTTTTGTTTGCCTTGGATGCATCCCCTTTGTAGTAAGTACTGATGTCTAGGCTCTCTGTGGTCATTAAAGCAAGATCGCGATCTGAGGAGACATTAGGGAAAGAATTTCCATTGAGGATGCTAGTCGTTCGCGCAACTTTGAGCAGAATGTTTACGAAGTGACATCTCAACTGATTAGTTTTAACCCTTTATCCACTGCCCATTTCTCAGTTGATGTAATCTCCTTTTGCAGTTCATTTGAATCCTGTTCACTTATTACGGATCTACAGATATTTGTGTCGTCAGCGTAGATCGATGCCACACAGCTATTTTAATCTGACATGTCTTTAATAAACATCAGGAAGAGGAGTGGACATAAGATATTCAGTGAACAGGTAGTTTTACGTCCCAGCAGGTTGTCCAGTTATCCGGTGCTCTGAAGGATTGGATGCAATTGACCTGCATTTTCGAAACCCGTATTGAGCTTCGTGGATTATTTTATTCTTATCCATGTACTCACTCATTTGTCCGTTTACTAGCCGTTCCATTAACTTCGATAGTACTGGTAGTTATGCTACTGATTTTTAACAGGCTGGATCCAAGTAAAGTTGTCCTCTATCAGGAGCCTGGCTGGATCCATCTTATCTCCTCCTTTAAAGATTGAAGAGTAAGTAACTTGATTCTAACCAGCTGGGAGCTGGTGTGAATCTGGTGAACCACGGATGAAATCCTTCAGAGAGACCTAACACCTGTGCCAGACTCTCGTTTCGCACTATCACGTATGTGTTATTTGCCATAGTGTTGAAAAGGTTTTCGTCCCGCCTGAGTATTTCGTTTATAACCATTTTAAACATGACTTCCTAACAGTGTGTGGACACGAACATTCTCAACCAGGTGCTGATCATTTGTTTTCCACTTATGACCATGATCTTTATTTTCTTGTGCTGTAGTTTGCCAATCGGTAATGACTGACGTCAGAGTGTGCTTATTTAGACCTCTCTCTTATAGACTAACTGAATCAGGTTGGCTCTTACAACACCTCATGTGACTAGAGAGACCGTTCTCCATCGATGTGCCAAACCTATGGTGCCTCCACCAAGTCTGCCCGACTTCTGAAGTTCACTAACACCAAATGTTGGGACATAATAGTCGTGAGGTGTAACTAACGAGATGACCGGAAGACACTTATTGCCATGGGGGTGTGAAGATCCATGATGGACGATAGCACATCGAGTGAGTGAGCTTCACCCAAGCTACCAATCACCAGCTCAGGCACTTTATGAGCCAACATGGTGAATTCAACCTATGTGCCTCTTTTTG